CTTTTCTGATTGGACTTCTTTCAGTCTGGCAGGGTGGAGGAGAGCCAAAGTAAAGCTGCGTGCCAGTAGAAAATGCCATGATTACTCATGTCCAGATGTGATCATCTTTCTTCTTCTTTAATTACAGCTCTATTTGTGTCACTGTTCCATTTACATACCTGCCAATAGATTTTTTTTTAATGCCCGGGCAAGGCACTGGGAAATGATAGCTTAACCCTAACCGATTTGCACAAGTTAGAATGGAAAGAAAGCTTTAAGAAAGTAAAAATGGTCTACCCTCCTTTCTTTGGTGGTTTGTGGATTTAGGGGTACATTTCACAATATTTTTTTCAGGAGTGGCTCCCCAAAATAGATTATTTCCATCTAGATTATTACATCTTGTTGGCCTTTGTTAGGGACTTGGGAAAGTGTTCAGGATCTGGCATTTCATACAACAAGTTCCTGTGATCAGTTTAGCCCTAGTGTAAGAAGTCAAAGGAGGATCAAAGACTATGTTAAGGCTAGAGCTGTAGTGCAGCTATGAAAAACAGTTGCCCAGAAGGCTTTGAAGGGATGCTCTGATTTAATAAAATAATAAAAGTTTTGAGTAGCAAATTTATCTCAACAGAAACATGTGGATTACAGTCCATTTCTTCGAATACGTATGTACTCAGAGAGGTGTGTGTGTGTGTGTGTGTGTGTGTGTGTGTGTGTGTGTGTGTGTGTGTGTGTTTGTGTTTGTGTGTGTGTGTATGCGCACGCATATGTGTGAACACACATACTGAACACATGGTTAGCAGGGTGTTGACTGTGAGCTCAGAAAAGAATTCCATAGAGAAAATAATTGGCAATGGCAATTAATGGTTGACCATTAAGAAGATTTTAGCTGCTGCCACTTTCTATATCTGAATTTTGCTCTGATCACATGTGTAGCATCACACTGACAGCCAAATAAATCTCGTGTGCACCTAGACCTATGCTCTACCATCGAAAAGTGTGGGTTGTCACCTGTGAAAGTTCATGTTCTAATAACTTTGTTAGCCTGACATGTTATCTGGAAGAATTCCCTGCCGTCTAAAGAACACCTTTCATATCCTTGCTTCTCTCATTGGGCAGAACCAGCCCAAAGTTTGGGAGTCGTTCATTAATCAGAGAGAAAAATGGCCCAGATTGCAGTTGCTTGCCGCAGCTGTGTAAAGAGGTGGCAGTTCCTAGTTTCCCCCAAAGGCTAATGCTGTGAATCACACCTGTGATTGGATGTGCATAGATGAGGAATAATGTAGTCTTTTGTTCAGATTTCCACTTTAAATCCCAAGGAGATATCACCTTGATAATAACCTGCTTACTTAGTAAGGCACAGGAGCTTTTGTGAGATGTATTAAAAGTGATCTCTTGGCTTTACATGACTTCCATTGTGCGTTTTTTTGTATTGTATGCTGTTTTCTCTTTGGAAAATTCTGCACCAGTGATGAATGCTCTCCCAGATCCAGGCATTTTTAGGGCTCATAGGAGTCTTTAGAAAAGAGGGCAGTTGATTGCTTTTTCTTACAGAACCATTCCATTAGATTCTGGCCTCAGGTTCTTCCATTGCCTGTGCAAGTTGTGAGGCATTTTCGTGAAGTCTCAGTTGAACAGTGAAGACAGTATTATGGCGGACAAAGTCCTAAGATGCATGGATGTTATCTCTGAATAGATACTAATGTACTGAACCACTTGTTTTATTGAGAGTCTTGCTAAATGCCTAAGTGCCTTTGCTTTATGGTTGACTTGTTAGTAAAATGGTCGTTTTCCTGCCTCTTAAAACAAGCCTTAAGATGAGGAACTGTAAGAAGGAGGATCAAGAGCCTTGACTTTGTCCTTCCACAGTTAGAACCAGCTGGGAAGTGGACTCCATGTTGCACGGTCCCTGTCTTTCCTGCTCAGCGGCAGCTTGGAATTCTAGATAAACTACAAGCACCTTTTAAGACAAGTCTTAAGATGCACAAATTACTAAATTGGGAGGGCAAGGGTGTGGTGAGGGATGAAACCATCCCTCCACCTGCGCACCCTGCATCAACCGCAGTGCATCTGTCTCTCATCCATTCTGTTGGCCTTTTCTGTTGTCTCAGTGGTGAATCTCAGCTCAGAGGCAAAACCGTAAATCTGTCTTCCTAGCATGCTATTCCGTTCACCAATAAACTTGGGTTGCATCTTTTTTATATATCGAGAGCCTGAATTAGTGTACTTCCTGGATTATAATAATGTTATATAATTTATTCTTCAAAAACGTACCAAATTGAGCAGCTGAGGCAGCGTCCCCAGAATGTGTGTGCATGTGTGTCCTCTTTTTGGAACCGTGTAGAATACGAGCCTGGAATCTATTTGGCCAGAGTTGCAGTTTCTTTCTCGGTTCACTAATTCCGTGAACCGCAGCCTCTGCTTGTTGTTCAGTTCAACACATGCAAGCTGGAATTGTTTGCAGAAAATGAATGTGTCTCCCTGAACGATCATGGAGGTCTCTGCCTCTAAGGCTGGTAAGGAAGAAAAGCAGGAACGCATAGTCGGCATGTGGAAAATGGGGGTGAGTGGGAAGGATGCAGCTTCCAGCTAGAGATTTTTGACTCTGATTCTTACAAAAATACAAAATGGCCTACCAAAAAAAAAAAAAAGGAGAGAATTAAATTACACTGAAGCATACCAAGTATGTAAAGTAGTGTGCATGTAGAGGGGTAGGTCTGTAGGGTGGCCACATCCTCATCACACGAAAAAAAAAAGAGAGAGAGAGAGTTGCATCACCAAAACAAAAGTCAAAAGAGAACATGGATCCTCATGAAATTGTATATGCTCATTTACATAGACTGATGCCAAATTAGAAAAAGGCATTTGTACTTTATCTAGAATTCCAAGCTTTGGAGCAGGAGAGACTGTGACCGTGCAGCATGGAGTCCACTTCCCAGCCTATGGACAGACAATGTCAAGATTCTTGATCTTCCTCCTTCCCTTATCTTCACTTCACAGAAAGAGCACACCCTTGGGCACCTGCCCTCATGAGTTCTGTTTCTCTCTAGTCAAGCTCAAATATACTTCTTAAAAAAATAATAACAATGAAGCAACATCTGTTTGGAACGGGAAGTACTCTTTGAAAGCCAAAAACGTCTACAGGAATGGGTGAAAGGACAGCATATATGACAAAATAAACACTGTAAAGTTTTTTTCTTTTGTTTTTTTGTGTAGTAAATTTGCTGGGGGAGGTAGGGTGGCAGGCAGTACGATATAGAAAGGAAAGAATGCAACAAAGATAGCCTGTTTTTTTTTCCCCCCAGCTGGAAATTTTTTTTCTCATGTTTGTTGCTTGGCTTGAAATAATACTGTGTGGATTATGTTCATGTGATCATCGACACAAAAAATCATCCAACCTGTATTCAGAAATTTTGTTTGTAATAGGAGAAAGGCTTTTCTGTTGCTTTCCTCCTATCAGCAAGACTGTCCAAAAAAGTGAATCTTCACCAAAGTGTATTCTTTTAATCTGTATTAATCGGCATGTCTGGGATATATTTTTGAAAAATATAGGTTGTAAAGAGCTCCTCCCAGTGTTAGCGCATACAAGATTTTTGTTATCTCAACAGTAAGTTCTTTTTATGACACACTGGCCTTTTAAGGCATTAAAATACAACAACGTCATAATTTATTTCATGAAATCACGAGTGTCAAGAAATATGGAGTTTAGGGTATATCTAAATACTGTACTCCGATTCATTTATTCTTGTTTGTGGGAGAGAAATTTTGAAAGAGACTGAAAGGTTAATATTGTATATATATCTTAAAAACATCTTTGATGGATGTGTTTCTTCCTTATTGTCCATGCTAAACAGAGTGGCACATACATCTGTTGGTACTTTTCAGTGTGGCTTCTTGTAGGACAGGGCTGAGTAATGTCAAAAGGGACTATGAGTGGAACATAATCTCAGAGGACACCACCTGCTCCTGCATCCTACTTTCCACCAAAATACTTTGTTTTTCTTTCAAAAACAAAATTAACTGAAAAACGCCCCATTAAGTTTTCTAGTAGACGAAAACGTTTTTTTAAATTAGCAAAGTATCGGGTTTGGGAGGGGGACATGGGTGCTGGGTGGCAGAAAACATGGCAAAATTGCTGTCTGCATATTATAGCAAGGGTGTTCTTGAGCAATTTTAAGAACAAGCTCAATTTGGGATGTGTGTGGGGAGTTGGGGGGCCTCATTTGGTCCGCTGGAACTCCTAAGTGGCTTGATGATACTTTACTCTTGTTGTTGACGGAATGGAATAAGCAACAAACGAGCTTTGAGAGAAACAGATTTTGTCTGGATGTGTCATATTATCACATTTGTAAAAGATCCTGGTGTGCTGTGATTTCACGCACTGTTGTCTGAAGAAAACCTTTCAATAGAAAAGGAGAGAGAAATCATCAGAACATCAGCTACAGGGCAAACAAAACACACTGTTTCTCGTGGAACCTCTTCAAAACCCATTTGTGACCAGAGCCAGTTATAGGGCACAACTCCCCTATTACTAGAGTTGCCAGATACATGGCGGGTTGGGGCGGAGAAAGACAGAGGACATTAGGCTAAAAAGGAGGACATGTCCTCCTTTTGCCTGACGTCTGGAAACCCTACCTATTACAACAGCTCCACTGGATGCCAGACCCCAATATGTATCTCCCAGTATTAGGCTTCATGGCTTCTAAAATCTTCAAGGAAAAGTCATTTCAGTAGCTCCTTTAAAACAGACTTTTAACAATTAATTGGACAGTGAAGAGTCTTGTCTTGATTTTGGGGTGCTGCACTTTGTTATCATTTTACGTGTGCTATAATGTGTTTTTCCTTCTTAAGGTGCTTTTAGCTAATCGTTTTAATACTGTTATAGGTTTCATTGTTTTTCATGTAATTGTTGTTCAGTCATTTGTGAGCTGCCTTGGGTCTCTTCCCTGGGAGAAAGGTGGTGTAAAAATGCAATAAAAATACATAAATAAACTTCAGAGGCCAGGTGCATACCTTACGATCAACATGCTGGGTCTTTGAGTTCCTTTTCTTTCACTCTTCCTATTATCAAGACAAATAATAAAATGAGGAGCTTTTCTTTAATAAAAAAACAGCATAAACCGCATTGGGTCCGTCTTGCTATTTTAAAGAAGAAATTCTATATACAATTTTGCCTCCTTCTCTCCATCTCCCTCCTGCCGATAAGGGAAGAAAACTTATCGTATCTGTGCCAAGTAGAATGAATCAGAAAATAAGCGTGATGGCTGGAAGTTCAGGTTTTCCGCATTAACAACTGATGCCTCTGTTCCAGTGGGGAAGCAAGTCAGTTTTGGAAACTTCCCAGTAGCTTATTAGTCATGGTTTCCAGCAGCCAGGGAATATTGCCCAATCTGTTCTACACGCCTCCCATATGGAGCTTTATGGGGCATTTTTCCATCTTAACAACTGGAAATCCAAGGGACTGCAGTTGCTCCAAATGGTTCATGAAGGAGAAAGAATATCCCTTTGGTCTTTGCCTTTTTTCCTTGTTATTAGGAGAAAAGGAATGTTTGCATCTTCATCCATCTTCCTGGGATGAAAAAGCAGATATTGTTGCCTTTAATGCGGAAGAATTGGCTTAAAAATCAGGTGTGATAGAACCGTTCTGTTTAAATTGTTTGTTCTGGTTAAATGTAAAAAAAAAAAAAATCTCATGATTTGGAAACAAACTGGGACATTCCTGAGTGTTCTGTCTTTCTATTTGCAGGGAAATGTTGCTTTGCTTTCTTCTTATTTTATTTGTTCTTGGCATTGCCCAAAGCTTAGATCATTGGTCTTCAGATATTTCCTCCCCTCTTCTCCCATCTCTCTCTTGCAGGATACTTCCTGGACAGCCAATTTATTTCCAAACACGGCATGAAACCCCTTTAATTGAAAATGAACATCACAACATCTGATGCTCAGTGGTGCTCAGGTTTTGAATTGAGCCTCTTTGAAGAGCATTGCCTTGGCCCCAGTTGTGATGATGGTGGAGGACTCCTGTGAAATGCTCTGGCTCTGTTTCATCACCTCTCACTGTGGAGTTAGATTCATTTCAGCCATTGCCAGATGTACGAGATACTGTAAAATGAAAATTTCCTCTTAGCAAATTAAGACTTGCTGGCCCAGGGGAACTAGTTGGGTTAGAAGGATTTGTTTGCCGTGAGACTTTGCAGTGAGATTTCTCCTGTCAATTTAAACCATAAACTGATTTACCAGCAAAAGATCACCCATCTGCAAGCCTGATGTTTTATTGTTCTGCTTGTCTAGTACATTCAGTAAATTTTAATGGAGGTTTTCCTATTGTTCTTCCAGTCATCAGGTTTTGATTAACTTCTGGAACATGTGTCTACCGCGTAGGTAACAGTGCAATTTAGATGGAATTATCTATAGGGTAATTTGTCATCTTGTCAGAGCCATCAAGGAGGTAAATTCCACAGGAAGCAGAGTCGCATTATCTGATAAATACTTTCAGTCTTAGATACCAAAGTCCTGAATCCATATGTGTTGGTGAACCATGTAGCAATCTCTGGAAGGGTTTCTGTAAGCTTTGCTCTTACCTCACTTGGTTGTCATGAGGATAGACTGTATTTTAGAAATGGAAGCCTGTTCTTCTTCCTCTCCTACCAGAGGCTGGATGTCACCATAGCTGTACTGATTTGAGATACAGTGGTGCCTCGCTTAGCGAGGTTAATCCGTTCCGGATTAACCCTCGCTCAGCGAATCCATCGTTAAGTGAAACAAAAAAGTCCATAGGAACGTATTAAAACTGATTTAATACATTCCTATGAACTTAAAACTCACTGTTCTGCGAGTTTTCTCCATTGCGGCGGCCATTTTGGATGCTTCGTTAGCGAGGCAAAACAGTGGTCGCCATTTTTTTTTAGCGGTGGCTATTTTGGAACCGCCGATCAGCTGTTCGCTATGCTTTGATCGCGTCTGCGCGATAATCGCATAGCAAAAAAAGCCCATAGGGGCCATCGCTGAGCGAACGCTCCAGCAATGGCCCGGGACCCATCGTTGTGCGGATTCATCGCATAGCGAAGCGTTTGCTATGCGAGGCACCACTGTACACACATATGGTATATATTGCATCCCAACAAGTCTCTAAGGTTGTTCTCCATTTATCAGTGATCAGCTATAGCAATCTGTACTTTTTGTTTCTCATGATGTGGCTTAAATATTCTAACTGACTGTATTTTATTAGTTTTATGATTTCTTGATTTTTACAGATTCATCTTAGTAGTTCTTGGCTGGTCATCATAATTTCCAATGCTTCTGCCTTTTTTATGGTTGTGAAATCCACCATTCCATGCCATGTAGTAGAACTGATAATACATAGCAATGTATATAGTGAACCTTCTCAAAGAGAAGTTTAGGTTTCTGTTGCACATTACATTCTTCATTATAAGGCATGTTCTGGGCCATCTTTGTTTTAACTTCTACTGGATGGCTATTGCACCTGCTGCTCATAGAATCAAATCCCATTTCTTTTTTGTGGCCTCTGTGAATCACATACTGAGTGATCCATGCCTGCGTGGAGCCTCATTGGAAAATTCTAGAGCTTCTGCGGTAACAAAAAACACATTAGAATAAGGCCCCTCCCCCTCGTATGAGTACCTTGACGCCAAGCGTCCCCTTTCAGTTGTGTCAACCACCACTACATTAAGCAGACTGGTGTGACAGTGGGGAGGACAGGCGGGATCACCCAGGGTGTGAATCACAGAGGTCCAGTTGAATTGCACTACTGTACAATTACAGATGGGTAACCTGCCATTCTCTTATGCTTTTCTCGTTTATTGTGGATCTCTAACTGCATTTCTTGGGCTGTTTGGCTTTTACTCAGTGCTATTAATTTGGTTTGCTTAATCATTTTTGGTTTGTATTTGTCACTGAATTCATTGTTTTTATTGAGTAACCTTTGCAGACCACTTAAACTATCAGACGATAAAACTGTACAGATTACATACTGAGTGTTGTCAATAACCTCCCCATTAACAATAATGCTATCATTTAAATCAACAAGTTATTCTCTAAAAGTTTTCTCAGAGTACAGACAAGCACAAGCGGAGGAGTGCTAGTGAGTTCCATATTCCTCTTCCTATTTCTGTATTCCTCTGTTACATGATCTTCAACTTTCATTTTAGCTTTTTCTTGCCAGTACAGGTTCCCAGTTGAATATTTCTCAAGACCTTTATCTACGAAAAATCTCTAGCAGGTTGCCATCTTGGACACTGCCTAGAGCTTCTATCATAATCCATAAAAACAAGGACAACTAACCATGTTTACGTCACGCCGTCTGTCTGCAGGTACATATAGACGGAATAGTGCTTTCCTGATTCCCAAACTGCCTCTACATTAAACTTCTTTGTACATCTTGCCTTGTAAATCTTAGTCAGTGAGCTCATCAAAGTTATTATTCAGCAGTCACTGCAAACATAAGCTGATAAAAGTGGATTGATGACTCAGAAAACACAGTTTCCATTGCTAGTGTTTCCAGGTAGATCTGGTTAAGTTCTTTGGAAACCTTAAAAGACTTTGGCCCACTAGGGCTCTCCATTCTTTGGAGGGTGATGGGAAAATTGGTAATCTTGAGAGAGTTTCTTGAGCGCCATAGAATGATCCTGTTTACAAAATGGCCGGGCATCTCACATTTAATAGAGTCATCAATGGGTAAAGCCTGAAGACCAGTAGTTAAACCTGGATACTAATTACAAGGCAAAGAGGTTCTTTCCCCACTACTTTTCTTTTATTTGAGGAAATGGGATTGGAGACAGGTGAGTGAGAATCCTGATCTCCATGTTTCATAGTGTTCCTTGGTCCATATAGGACAGGGGTCTCAAACATGCGGCCCGGGGGCCATTTGCGGCCTGCCGGATGATAGTTTGTGGCCCCCAACTTGCCTGCCCCCCCCAAAGTGCCCACACGTCCTCTGCTGTCAAGAGCACCTGTGGGCCCCCCGCCCCATTCTGTTTAATTTCGCAGGTACCGGTGGGGGCTTTTCTCCTTTGGCAAGGAGAATTCTGTGAGGATTTTTCTTTAAATTTTATGTCTTGCCCTCCTCCCCACCCCGCTAGGCGGTTGCCAGTGCTCCCTCCCTTCTCCACTTCATCCTGCTGCTGCTGGTGGTGGTGGTCATGAAGAAGGAGCCGGAGGGGGGTGTGGCCAGCGACGAGGGCTCACGCGCCCCTCCTCCTCCTTGGAGCCCCAGCCGGGCTAAGGAAACTCCTGGGCGGCTTCCTTGGGCTCTTGCTCTGCTTGGCGGAAAATCTGATGCAGCCCAGCCTCACCCAGATTCTGCCTCCAGTGGCCCCCAGGTAAATTGAGTTTGAGACCCCTGATGTAGGATATTCTAGGGGGTAGGTAGGGCTGGCAGCTGCAAGCTGGCACTCAACTAAAAGATTATAAGACCTCTAGCTTTTTCCTTCTTCTTAAATTGGGACAAAAATGTATTCCATACCCTCAGACACATGTACTTCACAGATACCGGGAGAAGTATCATCAGTTGCCAGCCCACTGAGCTAAATAAAATGTAATACAGAATGTAAAGGTCACTTCCTGTGGTGGAATTTGGTTACTTACATAATCCTGTGGTTAAAACAGGGAAATGTCCCTATGATGAAGTAGCCGTGAACTTGCCAAAGACGCTGTCTATGTCTCCCTGAAATGTTGAGCTTTGCAGAATGACAGCAAAGAGAAGCTTGTCATAGACAGTTTTGCCACAGTGGGAAGAAGAACAATCTTGTGAAAGAAAAACTCGTAGATACATCGGAGGTCTACAGCTGTCTGTTCTCGTGTCATCAAACCCTCTGCAATCTTGTTGCTATTGCAGGCATCCTAGTCTGAGCCAGAGAGGCAGTTTAACATCCCGTCTCCTGAGTGGCTTTGTAGCTGCTGCTGCTGATGATGATCTTGTCATAGGACAAAGAGATTGCAAAGGAGGTCCATGGGAAATGTCAACAGCAGGAGCAACTCTGCAAGGCACGGGAAATCTTGGGAAGAGAAGGGAGGTAACGTAATGATAGGAAGGCACACTGATTTTAAAAATCCCGTCATATTGCCGTTTCTTAAAATGTCATAATGAAGACTAGGAGGAATGGGGTAGTCACATGTTTATATAAAATTTTTACACACACACACCATTTTATTTACAGAATGTGACTAGTCTTTTTAAAAGTTCCTAAAGAGCTCAATTCTTAACAAATATTCATTATCTGTTATTAACTGATGTGTCCTTATTCCTGGAATATTTAATATAAACGTAATGGTCACAGCAGGAACGTGAAATGCATGATCCGTTGCTCACCAAAAAGTGCAATGTTTCACTTTTTTTTGGCAGTTGCTAAACTTTTTTGCTTGTCTGTGTGCTTAACAACGTACCTTTGGCACTTCTTTTGTAGAGAAGAAGGGGAACCACATGTCCCCTCGACGACTCATCCGTGATGCAGCACTTGGACATAACTAGCCGCCTTGGGTTCTTTTTAAGGAGAAAGGCAGGATAAAAATATTTTAAATAAATTTAAAGAAATAAACTAGTTGCCTTTAACTAATTTCTTTTTCCAGTAGCAAAAGTACAGCTACATTCTTAAGACTGTAATATAAGAAGGGAAAATATAATTCCTTTTGTGTTTCAAATGTGACTTTTTAGTTGCCTTTATAGTTATGTGTGGACTAATGTAATAATTGCAGATCAAACGTGATGCACTGCTGCCTTCTTAGAACCATAGCTGTAAAAAAAAATATACATGTTTCAAAGATTTACTTTGCAGGTTCTGGTTTCAAGTTTTCTTAACCTACCTGCCCATGACTACGTGTCCAGCCAGTGTTGTCTGTCTACCTCTTTGTAGAAATACTATCCTCAGGCCTTTTCTGTAGGCTCACCAGTTTGTCTGTCCCCTTTTTTGTGATGGAGGAGTAGGCTAGGCATACATTCCGATTGACTAAACACTCATGATAATATGGGAGGGGAACACTCCATATATAGGCACAATTCTCCACCACTATAGCTTTTGGGGGAGGGGGATTGGAGTAATGTAAACTACACCTAGATGTGGGTGTCTCGTTCACATGTACCTTACTTCTCTAACGGAAGAAGAATGTACACTTGCTTCTCTAAAGATTGTCAATCTAGTAGGTGCATAAACAATCCCAGTGCATGCTGTGCTCAAAAGTAGTTAATATTCACTTTCCGAACTTGATGTCACTCTGTACACTTTGAACTACAATTTCCATCACCTCACTCTTGGCCTTGCTGGCTGGGGATAATGGGAAGCACAGTCCAAAACCTCTGGCAAGACCAAAGGTGGGGGAAGGCTGGGTGAGTGTCAGTCTCCTTCCTGACTGTGAGTTGCCACATAGTTATAGTGTTGGTCTGCTGCTCAGGAGGAAAGCTTTCTTGGCCCCATGGGTTCTGTGTTGAACAGGGAGGAGAAAATGCTCTGTGCCTTCTCCTGTCTTTTTTGCTATGAAGATATTTAGATCACACACTGCAGGATGTAAACAACCCTCTATGGGGAAGCTGCTTACGGAATTCCCAGGAAACCGGATTGAATCTCCTTAGCATGGTTAGGTATGTAAATGGCTGCTTTAAATAGCAGATTTCAATAAAGCTATTTATGTGAATAATCTACAGCAGAGCTTGTTTTATTTTTAAAGTTGCTGTCTTAACTTTCTGTAGGCCAGAGCTAAATTCTATTAAGAGCAGAGCTGTTCTTTTTCAAAACTAATAGTGTAAAACTGGGGAAGGCCAACCCAATCTGCATTCCTTTGTTTTCATTGTTTTATGACATAGAATTAGTAGAGCACCACGAGAGTTTGCCCCAGTAGTCTCTTTCTGTATTTTATTTTATTCCTTTTTTATTTTATTTATTGACCATCCTATATCTGTAGATCTCAGGATGGGTCTAAGTTGACAGATGCCCAGCTGGAATTTTGGCATGTGGTACTTCACCACTAAAATTTATGCCAGCATAGATGTGCAGTACGATTGTGACCATGGCTACACAAGGTCTATTTTGTTTGCATTATCAAGGGAAATAATCCATAATGGAGACTCTTTCAAGATTCTTTGAGAATGCACCACAGATAATGAGGCTGTGGTTGAGGTAGCACACAGGTAGCGAGCATCTGAGATATTTGTTGGTATCTGTCTGGAAATGTCACATCAGGAGGAGGAGCTTAAAGGGTCTCCTCTACCCCTGCCCATTATTTCTGCAAAACATTTTTATCGGCTTGGAGCATGCTCATGCATGCTGCTCGTTTGTTCCCACTGCAATTGAGAATCGGTAAACAAACTCAGTTTTCTGTCTGTGGTTTGTATACTGAAATGTCTGAACCCACAAATCTAGTTTGTCTTTCTACTGACAAGCCAGAGAAATAAGCCAAGAGAAAACTGTGGGATCATTTCTCTGACTTATTTGGGAAAGAGAGAAACCAGATTTCTGGTTTCACATGTCATAAGCAAACCATAGGTGGAACATCTGTGGTTGCATGCCACCTCTTCCCGAGTGAACCAAAATTCTGTTGTCTTACTGTGTAAAATTACATTCTGTGGCTCTTCAGTTTCTCGTCAGCTCAGAACAGGGGCAATCTTAACATGTTGCTGCTACATCCAGTAACAATTTGTAATTTTTTCCTTCCTTCCTTCCAATTTGTATCTTTCTTCTCCTTACCACAACAATACACCCACAACAAGACACACTAATCACCCATCTCCTGAATAGGACAAAAGCCTATCTCACAGCCATAAATACTCCACTCCCAAGCAAACCACACCAGAGCACAGAGTGCTGTCCTCTGAAGATGCCGGCCACAGAGACTAGAAAAACGTTAGGAAGAACAACCTTCAGAACATGGCCAAAAAGCCCGAAAAACCCACAACAACCAACAATTTGTATTGTTGGCAATAAAAAGATTTGAAGTGTTTTATGGGCAGCGTGTTAAGGAAGGTTTTAGGCCATGTTATAACCAAAAGGAAAAAAAAAGCAAAGGCAAGAAATGGAAAGGAAAGGAAAGAAAAAAAGTTGAAATGCCAGAGTCTGACCTTGGATTGTCCTCTGTTCTTTTTTTAAATTATAAGGATAATGACTGCCCATTATTCGGTTGTTTGAACTGCATGCAGGTGGGCTGGGTAGTGAGAAGAAATGGAAGCTTCAAAGACAGACATGAGAAGTCTGGATACTGGAAGAGAGTGGGTGAGTTTGTTCGCCTCACATTGGATAATATAAATATTTTATCTCAGAAAACAACCTTTTGAAGTGAGAAGTGACAGCTGAAAGAAGCCCAGAGGCGTAGAACTGAAAAACTTCTATTTAAGCCAAGTGTGTTTGTGGATCTTAAAATAAATTAGTCATTTCATATTGTGGTGGCGTATCTGTTGTCCCTTCCTCACAGTGTCTTATGCAAGTGAATACAACAAGAAATAAAAATAGAAATGGGGCATATCCGCTGAGGGACAGTCCTTGCAAAACATTTTTGTACATCAGTACAGATGCTTCCTGCTGCAAAATACTTGGGTAACAGAAGATGAACACCTTTCACATGTTTCTCTCCCCTTTAAAAGAGCTGCCTGCTCTTTTTCTCATATTACCTCTGTGTAGTTTAGAGAGAAAAAGAAGCGTTCAACATAGAATGTAATATATGTGTGTTTTATTCATAGGAATGCATCCCTGCATACAAAATACTGGCTGGAATCCTATTTGTGTGTGCTCACATAATTCCATCACTGTAGAATTCAGCAGCAAACAGTCCCAAGTTAAGAAGTCAGTGTAGGCATTTGTTATTCTACACTCATTTGCTTGACTTTTATACAATCACAGATGCTTACGTTGACTTCTTAACTTGTGGCAGGTACATTATTGAACTTCACACCAATGGATGTATGCTGGCAGGTGTAACTAACAGGACTGTGGTCACTACTTCAGAAGCAATATATGTTCGTAGTCTGGATTCATTTGGAATCCCATTTATACCCTTCTGATTTTTCCAGCATACTTTTGGATGCCACCATCATCATAATAATCTTAGAACTGTAGAGCTGTAAATAACTCTAGTGATCATGAAGTCCAGCCCCGTCAAAGAGGCACAGTGGGGAATCGAACTTCCAACCTCTGTCTCTGCAGCCAGATACCTCTTGTAACCTAGATCCGTTTGATCTAGAAGCAAACTAATACAAGCCACTGCAGAGTACAAGTGACTGAAATCTATTAGTACATTGGGAAACAAGATTAGAGCTATTGATGAACCATTTCTTCTTCATTCAATGGGTCTGCTCTGCTTGGGGACTATGCAGTTTACCATTGGGACATGCCTCTCTGCTCCAGTTCTGATTGTGTCCTTCTCATACTGTTCGGAGAGTTCATACTGTTTGGAGAGTTCACTTGTTATTAATTTATTGTAATGAGATGCTGGCTTAAGGGCCAAGAAATCTAGGAAAACCTCCCCCATCCGTTTTCAGTGTACAGTATATTCACACTGAAGTATGGGTAGATAGTGGACTAAATTCAGTGATCGTTCCAGCCGTTGAAATCAGTGAGACTTACATAATAATTTAGGTTTGACTTGCAGACTGAGATTTGACTTACAGACCAGAAAAAAACTAAAATGGAACAAAAACGGCCTGTTACGGGATTAATCGGTTTTCAATGCACTGTAGGTCAATGGAGACTTGACTTACAGACTTTCTGACTTGAGAACCGCCTTCCAATACGGATTAAGTTCTCAAGTCAAGACCCCACTGTAGTGGACTAAATTCAGTGATAGTTCTAGCCGTTGAAATCAGTGAGACTTACATAATAAGTCCTTTTCATTTCAATGGGTCTAGTCTAGTAGGGTATCATATTGAATTTCACCCGGTGTGCCATCTAACCATACAGAGTGAATAACTAGAGTGCCAAATAGTGTATCATGTAGACTGTCCTGCAGAGAGATGAGTGGGAACCATATAGTTCAATTTAGTTAGGAGGAGTTGAGTTATTAAATCCTGAAAATGCTTATCACTGAGCATTAAAGTATTGAGCAGTAATGTAACTTTGACATCCCAGCACGCAATGTTCCATCTAATTTTCAGACCCATTGCACTGGAGCCTCACCCCATGTGTGTGGACAGGGGTGGGGTTCCTGCCAAAACCGGAACTAAACAGGCAACAACTCCGGAGCTCTGCATGCATATACAGTTTAGAGGGAAGGTTGCGAGCATAGCAATGTGTGCGTGTTATTTCTAGTGTTTCTAAATTGTTTCAGTGAAATTGGGCCAGTCAGCTTACTTGGCTTGGCTGCTGTCCTATATCAGAAAAACTTACAGTATTTGCTTAATGTAGGACAAGTGTTCCTTGTTTATCTAGTGTTAGAAGGTGCTCCATCAGCTTAGTTCCCTATGGGTTTTCTCTTTCCTTTTACAAGAGTATTTTTCCTTCAGTACGTGTCCTATTTGGCTCAGTTGCTGTAACTTTATAAATTCTATCCTCTCTCTCTCTCCCCCGCCTGCCAAATTGCCTCACCCTACAGTCCTAAACTCTTTGTCTTCCCTGCTGTGCTGGGAACTATGATGTCGTCCAGCTGTATAAGCTTTTCATAGGATTCAACCATTGTTTTCCCCGACTCCCCTTTTTAGGGACAGAAATCTTTTGGTTGGAAATTACATCTTTCTGTGGTGCTTTGGGGCCTATTAAAGCTGGGTCTGTGTGGGCTTGAGAAGCCCTCTTTTTCACGATCACGCACAGTTGGCAAGCAATTTCATTCCACAGAACTTCTAAATATTGATGGGCCTAGTAAGTAAGAATAGGCCTCACACTGTATTTTGTATTCTAGTTACCGCCGATAGTAAAAGATTTTCTCCCTTGTGGTAGTTAAATAGGGGGATATCTACACTACAGGCTGAAATTGGTTTAATAGTCATCCTTTCTCCTCAAAAATCCCTGGGAACTGTAATTCTGTTCGGGCTTTATATTTCAAGCAGGGGATTTACATCACCTGTAAGCGTACTCCCAGTTTATTCTGGTGCCTAGGATATCTGTTCAAAAACCTGTACCTTCAGGCTAGTGGTAAAAAAACAACAACAACAACCCTATACTAATGGATTTCAAAAAATTGGAGCATAAAACAACACTTAAAGGAACAGGAAGGTTGCGACACAGACGTAAAAGGAGAAACAAGGAGAAGCAGAAGAAGACAAAGCCTTTTATTCATTTGCTATCAATGCCATCTGTAAATTTTGTTGTGTCGTGGGCGAGGAGATGTGGGAAACACAGCAGCATGAATTGAGTGTGGCATTTGAGGCTAGAGGGAAGGAGAATTAATAACAAATGGCATTACGTTCCATGTAGAATATATTTGCATGTATCATTTCCTCCGTATATCTTTTCCTGACCTCTCAAATAAATGCATTGCCTGTAGCTGGCCAAATTCTCTCCCCGCAGACTCCATAAATCTAATGAAGGTTGCTCTGGGATATGTATTATGTGAACTGTTTACACATGAACAAAATAATCAGTTCTCAAAAGTAAAAGTAAACATAACAAATCAGAAGAGTTCTTTAGCTTAAAATTGTAGGTGGGCTCTTTGCTGCGGCGTTTGGGTGAGATTTAGTGAAAAAGTCTCCCCAGCTCTACAGAGAAAAGCAAATGCGCTCTTTAGTGAGATACTTTGAATAGGAAGAACTTCTCAATTACAAGGATATACGTGGAATGTTTAGATATATCAATATGGACTCTACTCACTTCTGTTTCAAATGTTATGGCTAACAATGACTAGATGGCACACAGTTATTATTGTTTGTTGAAAACAAGAGGGATAGTGCCTTTTGCAAGCTTTCTGGCAGTTGATTCCAAACACTTACGGAAGAGCTTGGGGCATCTTGAATGGTGGAGGTATAAATAAAATAAATAAGTAATAAGTTAATAAGCTGTTTGGGATGTTACAAACCAGCACCACCAATTTACATTCTGTGCTAAGTAAAAGGGATAACTGTGACTACTTTTTAAGTTTCTGCTACACTGACATGCAGACTGAAATTACACCATGTAAGTCTGATGATGTCATTAATCATAGTTGCATTTTGGTAATTAAAATGTTCATCTTCCTCCTCAAGTTTCTTAGACTCCCTTAGTCTCTCTCTGAAACTTTTAGGGACAGCGCGATATAAGCAAGAGGTCTTAAATATCAGAAGATTGCCAGCAGTGGCTGCAGCAAAACTGGTGATGGCAATTTTCGGAATTATTGTGTATAACTTCGTAGCTGGACTTCAGCCAATATGCTAGTGCAGCAGAAATTCATTTATTGGGTTTCAGCCAATATGTAGTAACCAGTAATGTGTTCAGAATTTATATTTACTCGGTTTTGCATACAAATGTGACGAGCTCTTAACACTTAGTTGTTTTACAGATTCTGTGTCTTGGAATCTAAAGAAAGGTTCCACACATGGATTGTCAGTGGCCTGACATATAGTGCTGACATGCTCTGAGGGTCTTCAATGTTAATTTCACAATACTTTATCAATCTGTTATGAAATACATGACTAAAAAAAGGGGGGAGGAATCTCTGAAGAACCCCTTCAAGCAGAGATCAAACTGTTATGAAATATATGGCTGAAAAAGGGGGAAGGAATCTCTGAAGAACCCCTTCAAGCAGATCCATTTTAAATTGTTTCCCTTGAGTCTTCAGAGGTAGTCTTCAGAGTCTGGTATATACTTCTGTATAGGCTGCAATTATTCTCTAAGACTTGGGTAAAAAGCAGTCAAAATCTGGAAGGGCAGTTCACAAGTCACTGCAAAATGAGCATGCTTTTTGTCAGAAGCAAAAGTCAGAATGAGACTTGCTTTGGTTCAGTGGTGATGGTGGATCAATAAATGGTGGATTTATGCTTGCCGTCTCCCTTTTAGGTATAAACTGCCTGCCGCCATCCATATTGGGGGAAGTAATGATTGAATTTCAAGTGTCTAGTGTTAAAAACTAGTATTTCCAATGAGCAAATGCATTAAGACTCATTGGAACACCTGCATCAACATTCAGTGCCAAGAGAGGGGAAAAAGATTTTAAAAATTCTGCTCAGTATTCACGCACAGAATTCCAACTGCGGAAGCTGCTGTAGCAATCTGACAAGGTGCTGAATATGCATGGTTGCACGCCTGATTGTATGACCCAGTCATGTGACCGAGCATGTGACCAAGCATGACTGGAACCTTCTTAGATCACTATGGCAGCTTCTGCAGTTGGGAGTTCTATGCATATCAATACTGAACAGGATACTGGC